TTAAAGAACATTTCAGAGTGAAGTGTTCAATCATTTGAGTAATTTTTGGGCAATTGGTGTATTACTTTAGATAGTAATAGATATAGCAGAGCCTTAAATATACAATGTAAAGTTGTATATATGACTAATTGTACTCTTGTTAATATAACAAAGTCAGGGTATCCAATGTGGTTGCCCTGGCATTCAAACCAAAGTTCAATAAAATGTGCTAAACCCCAAAGTAGTCATCTTAATATTGCTACTTTTCTTACTAGACATTTATTATCTGATTTTTAAAAGAGAGGGAGTTGGTTTTTTAGAAAAAAAAAAAACTCTTTCCGGTTTACCTCCGGAATTTTTAGAAAAACAAAATTATTAAACAAAACTTAGTTAAGTTCTCTCAAAACTCAACTGGAAGGGCTATTGCCCTTATCTCCAAGAAAAGAAAACTTGTATTCTCAAATATGAACAACTCAAACTTCAAGAGAGTCAGGCTCAACAACAACAAAAGCAAGGAAAAAACCTTTAACTTGCGTCCAGAAACTACAGCGACAGCAAAAAACTCAACAAACAGTGCAAAACAACAAAAAGACAACAGTTTACAAGAGAATAACTCTCAAGGCAATAATATTAACAGCAATACAAGCTGTGCAGAAGAAAGTGAAACCATCTTGGAAAACAAACACAAGAAAGATAATACTAAAGTTTCTTCTCTAAATGAGAACAACAACAATGAAACACGTAAAAATTCTACTATAAAATAAACAAACAAACAGAAAAACAACACGTGGATCCAACACGTGATGATGCACATCCATCAAACTCAGAACCGAAGGATGGACCGAGCTCACAAACTAGCAGAGCACAACCTACCCAAACAGGAAACCAACCTACTGGAAACAGACAGTAGTCTGACCTCTTTTCTAAACTAAAAGGGGGGAAAAGCCACGTTTACAAATGCTGTACCCAAACACAAAATATACTCAAAAAATGAAAATGCACTTATTTTCAATATTCAGGATTTGTTAAACATATCCACAAACAATATTATTTTAGCTATCGCAACCAAACTAGAAGAAAACTTGCTTGCAGCCAAAGTATATATGCATAAAGGAAAACGCAATTTTCTGGAAACAGTGTTTGCAAATAAAGACAAACAAAAGCTCTATGCTTCAGAAGGAATAAATATCTTCAACCAAACACTATTTGGTTACATTCCAATTAATCTCAAGCGCACCTTTCTTTCAGTAAAACTGAGAAACATGCTGATGGGAGAAAAAGAACATATCAATGAACTGGTCAAGATAGCTTTTCAAGACATAGGTACTATCGCATCAATTAAACCACTCCTATCCGAAGGTACATCAGTATGTTCAGACCAATGGATTATCACATTTGAAACTACAGACGACCCAGAATTGGCTCAAAGATTACCAAGATATACAAATGTGGGAGATCATAAAGTCTCAACAGATTGGAAAGAAGCTCCGAAAGTTTGCTACTACTGTGAACAAACAGGACACATCAAGAAAGACTGCAGGGAGCTAAAAGCCGCTATTGAGTTTAGACAAAGGGTCAAAGAATACAAGAAACAAAGAGAGCTTAAAACAGATAATCAGAGCTTAGACAAAGTTGAATCACAAGCTCAATTTAGTCCAGAAAACCCATATACTGTATCTCTGATATGATTATAGAAAACGATAAGAAAGATAATGAAGAATTACAAAGTACTGCTATTGATACAACCTCACCAGAAGTTTCTCAACAAAAGGAAAATAGCATTACAGATGTAGATGCAAAAACAAACAATATGGAAATAGTTGAGAGCGAAAATAATACAGAAACAGAAACAAGACCCCTGATTACAGACAACACAATGAAAATTGACTTCTTTCTACAAGATGAAGTATCTGGAAAAGATGAGACCGAATTTACTTTGGTTACATCAAAAAAAAGGAAAATATAGAAACAGAAGCAAGAAAGGAGTTATTGCCCCAAGCACCAGAATTAACAAAGCAGAAAAGAAGAATAATCCAATGGGGGGTTACTTCTCTCTGTGCTTAATTAACAGAATCACCACAAGTGTGGCAAAATACTCTCCTTTTCAACTTATGATTAAGATTGTCACACTGAACGTAAAGGGCCTTAATAACAAAATTAAGGCTAAAAAAACAATGACACTACTAAAGTCCTATAAGCTAGATTTAATTTTTTTACAAGAAACAAACCTAAATGATACTTCAACAAGAAAATTGCTGAAAAGTCAAATATTAAATTTACAGAGACTCAGATTTTACACAATGACCATGTAATATCAACCAAGTTCACATTTAAGCGATGCTTATATGCTGTTACAAACATTTATGCTCCTTCAAGTCAGGAAGATAGATTTCAATTCTTCAGCAATTGGACTCCAACCATAGATACCAATGCACTTAACATTATAGCAGGAGACTTTAACATGAACTTAGATCCAAAAATAAACCGTATTAGCCAAGCAGCAATACAAAATGATAACTCACGAGATCTACTTCAAAAGCTACTAGAAGATTTTGTAGATACTGCAAGCTTTTCAAGGAACAGCCCTTTTCTAACCTTTTACCAAAATATACAGAGCAACCAAAAATGGCTACAAGATTGGACTATATATTTGTAGACACCAACTATGGATGTCTTAACTTTGAAACTCAAACTCGCTTTGGCAATTCAGACCATCTATTAGTAGAAAGTAAAATATTAAGCAAGCCTGAGTACAAGACCACAACTTGTTAAAAATTTGACAGGAGGTGCTGGACCATACCAGAGCTCGAAAGAGAATTAACTGAAATGATTAAAGACATCCAGGATGTTCAAGACTGGGATCTTTACAAATGTACAATTCAATCGATAATCAGAGCGTTTAAGCCAAAACCTTCACCAGAAAGGAAGATTCAGCAACTTCACAAAAAACTAAATAACTTTAATAACAAACTAGCCAAAACTCAGAACAAAGGGACTATAATCTTCTTGCTGAACTTACCAAAGCTCAAATCCAAGAAGAACTGGTATCTCTTTCAAAAAAATAGCAAGTTAGATCCAATGCAAAATGGATAGAAGAGAGAGAAAAATCCACAAGATATTTATTTTCTCTTTACAAGTCCAAACATACAACTACATGCTGTTCCAAAATTCGGAACCCTAATAATATTTACATTAGAAATACTTACCAAGAAATCTACAGAACAGAAGATTTTGACTATGAAGCAGCAAATGAATTAACACAAAATCTCCCAGAAGTCATAGTGGAACAGAATACACAACTAACCAAACCAATAAGTGAAGAGGAAATAAGCAGTATAATTGATTCACTACCCTGCAATAAAATGTCTGGATCAGATGGTCTCACCTACGAATTCTATAAGGACACAAAAAAGAAATTGCTTCCCTTTTTAGCAGAACCTTTTAATTATGTACTGAACTCAGGAAAAATGCCTAACTCATGGAATAAAAGCATAATTACGCTAATTCCAAAGAAGTCAGACAATCTAGAAAATATTAATAACTGGAGACCTATCTCACTGGTAAACAGCAATGCTAAAATTTTCATGAAAGTTTTGGCTAACCGCATCAACCCAATATGCGAACAACTTATCGGCCCAGCACAACAGGCATTTGTTAAAGGAAGATCTATAACAGACACTGCTCTTGACATTTTAACAGTCTTAAGAAATCAAACTGATCAATCTAAACAACACTGGCTTCTCTTACTTGATCAGCAAAAAGCATTTGACAGAGTTAACCATTCATACTTACAATTGGTGCTCACCAAAATGAACTTTGATAAAAAGTTTATCAGTATTATCAATACATTATTTTCGATCCAGCAGGCACATATTACAGCAAATGGCAAAATTTCAGAACCTTTTAAAGTAGAAAGAGGTGTAAGACAAGGGGACCTACTATCTTCTCTTCTATACATTATAGCCTTTAACCCGCTGTTGATAGCATTACAACAAAGAATTCGTGGTATTTACATTTCCAATCAAGCCTTCAAACTTGCAGCTTATGCTGATGATTTGACAGTTGGGATTAGCTCTACAACAGACTGGTACAACCTTATAGACACTATTAATAAATACAAAAAAGCATCAAATGCCAAGATCAATAAACACAAAACTGTATTAGTACCACTTACAGAAAATGTACGCAGAATCCAACTAAGAGATGCAGAACACTTACAAGTACACAACACTAATGAGCCGCTAACAATTTTGGGATATGAGACCGATACTACTGGTACCTCAGCTAAGAGTAGTTGGCCAAAACTAACAAAGAAAATCAAGAAAAACTGTTTTATGAATAGGTAGATCATATTAATTTAACAGTTTTTTTTTTTTATAATTTATTTTTGTTTGAAAAAAAGTTTTATTTTTATATACGTAACTTGTTAATTTTATTATTAATATTTAATTATTTAATATAATTTTTTTAATTATCTAAATTTAGGACTACAATTTTGTTTTTTTGCTTCTATATAACGGTTATATTATCGATTCCGAATTCGTTTGGAATTTTATAATTTATTTTTTTTTTAATTCAAATTGTGAACTCAGATCTAATAAAACATAATTATAAGCTTTAATGTTATTTTATAATTAATGATCGATTGTACAATATAGATCTTTTATTTAAACATTATGACTAGCCAACAAAACTCGAACAAATCTTAATT